AACTTGAGTTTATTTATGCAGAAGATTTCATAGATTTCATTAAGAGTTGCAGAGCAGAACTTGTACAACAGTGTTTTGAAACGTGGATGTGTGCAGTGGATTGTGGGAAAAGTCACAGCTCCTTATCACTGGTTGGGAACGTCCAGAGCTTCTGATAGAACAGAATGACCATATTTGTTTTATGTTCTCAGAATATGGTTTTGGACCAAACTGTCTGAAGTGGGTAAAAACAATTTATCACAATCCAGTCTCATCAGTTAAAACAAAATATATCATCTCTACACTTTCCAGCTCTTCCAGCTCTTCTGCTCCATGAGACAAGGCTGCCTGTTGTCCCCAACACTTTTCACTCTTGCTCTGGAACCTCTGGTACACATGATTAGACGAGATAAAGACATTACAGGAATTACAGTCAAATTGAGCATGTATGTCTTATTGACACTGGCAAAACCATCAAAATCTATTCCCAAAATGCTTCAAATCAGGGCACAAGATTAACAGGAGCAAGAGTGAAGCCATACCCCTCAGTTACTACACATTCAAACAAGATTTATTTCATTTGGAGGAATGACGGTAGAAAAGATTTGGGGATAACAATTAGGATGTCAGTAAACCAACTAGTGGAGTGTAATTTGCAGCCATTAGTAAAATCTATAAAGAAAGACCTTAAAAGACGGTGATCCCTGCCTCTGCCTCTGTGGGGCAGAACTGAAGTGCTTAAAATGAATGTTCTCCCTCAAGCCCTGTCCCCAACATCCTCAGTGGCCTTAAGTATAACCAACGCCATGGTTTCATGAGATAAAGAAAATGGTTTTCTCTTTTTATCAAAAGATCAAAAAACCCAAATCAGCCTTAAGAATGAACTGTGCCTAGAGATCGAGGTGGTCTTGGTGTACGGGATATTTATTTGTATTATGTTGTTTTTAATACCAGACATACTTTGACCTGGGGATATAAGAGTGTACGGGGAAAAAGACGCTGGAATTGGCTCTTATCTATTTCATTATCTTCATTATGGCACCACCCAGATCCACAGACCAAACTGGATAACCACGTCAAGTCTCTAACATGTAAAAATGTCAAAAGACTGCATCAAAACATGGACACCTGAAAAACTGTCCTATACAGCACAATGTTTCTGCGGCAGGAAATCCTTTAACAAACAGAGGTGGCAACAACATCATATACATTTGACTGAAAATGGTTTATTGTCACCTTCTGAAGATATAGCCCCCAAATATGACTTGTTTTTCTACATTAATACTCTCCAAACTACCTAAAAACTATTACAATTATGATCATGAAATGGATGAGAAATTTGGAGAGTTGGCTATAAATAAAAGACTCAGGACTTTATAAAATGCTCAGTAGGTCAAGTGAAACCCTCAAGACTACAACACCGTCTCAGTGGGAACAGGATCTAGATTGAAATTTAACAACTGCACAATGGAAACAAATCTGGAGAAATGTTACAAAAATCTCCAAATCAGTGAGACTTAGGCTGATCCAAAAGAGCATATGTATGTTTATTGTATTTATATGTTGTGACGTTGTTGTGTCCACTGTCCTCATGATTGTCTATTTATTTATTTATTTATTTATTTGAGACAGGGACAGCGCACAATTTTCACATTAACCTTGACAGGAGAGATGCATTGTACATCAGGTTGTAGCATCAGTGCTAATTTCCACCTGTCGTCCCTGGACAGGTTCATTGATTGATTGTATTTAACTGACCTTGACTATCAACTGTTCTGGAGACCTGGAGCATGTTTTGGGTTGATGGGGGAAACCGGAGGAAACTCATCCAGACACGGGGAGAAACATGCAAACTCCACACAGAAAGGCCCTGAGCGACCTGGGGATCGAGGTGCTAGCCACCGTGTATTTAACACAAAAAATATAAATAATAATTTTTAAAAGAATGACATCAGTAACATAATTCAAGTATTAATGATTCAAGTATTCAGGATCACAAATGTAAAACAGTATGAACTCAAAACTAACGGCAGCATTAGCATTAGCATTAGCATCGGTGACCTGACAGTTGTTTTGAGGTGATGCGTTCGCGAGACTCTCCAGTTTAGTAGTTCATATCTCTCTGAATCTGTAAACTATGTTTGTCGGCACCAGGCATTGGCTCCTACAGTTGGACATTACTTAAGTCATCAGACAGTCAATCGAAAACATGAAACAAAATGCATTTTAAAAGACACTTACCAAGGATGCAGCGAAGATGCCCTTCAAATAAATACGTGTGTGCGCATGTACGGATACGATGTACATAATTACTATGTACGTTTGTACGTCATATCCATCTAGGCTCCCAGAGCTTCGGAGTAATAGTAGAAAAAACTTCAAAATGGGCGGGATGTTTCCTCCACATGTGACCATCCTGCTTAAACAGAGAACGAGTCCGAAACATAAGCGCCCTTTTCCCAAAAGTTCTGCCAAATGTTCTGTCACAGGTTCTGTTAAAAGTTCTGCCAAAGATTCTGCCAAAGTTCTGCCAAAGGTTTTGTCCAAGTTTCTGCCAAAAGTTCTGCCAAAGTTCTGCCAAAGGTGTGATCTGAGCCGCACATCATCTTGTGCTGCGGTCGTCCTTTGTGTCCAGGGTAAATATAAAAATATCTTCAAAACTCGTTAAAACTGAGTTTAGTTTAGAACAAATATCTAGATTCAAGTCTCACAGGAGAACCTGAGTGCGAGTGTGAGGGGAGAGCGGTGTCCTGTCCTGTTTGTACAGTGGGGAGGGTGGGAATTTCCTGGCAACTTTGATTTTCAGTTTCCTGAGTCATTAGCCTTTATCAAGCAAGAAACTCTAACCTAAATATGAATAGGTGTAACTACTGCCTTTACAACAAGATCTCAGAGAACTACACTGAAAAATAATTCACAAAATCTACCCTACCAATTTACTTCTGTCCAAATTTAAAGGTTGTATGGAGGATTTTTTTTTTTTTTTTTCAAATTGTCAGTGATAGATTATAGATGCAGTAGCCTTGTAATTATGATGACCAAAAAAAAAGAGAATAAAAATTCATCAACTCTGGAGGTGGTGGGGTTAAACATTTGCCAATAGATAACGACACTGCCTCGTTATCTGTGAGCTGACAGGCTGTCAATCAAACTCCCTACGTTTCTAGTGTAACTGACTTGCCTGCGCCGCCGGTACGTGGTTTACGTACGACTGTCACGCAGTCCACAGACGCAAGACGCACAGACGCTGTTTACTCCACCAACGCAACAGTTCTTAGCGGCTTTTTTTGACCTATATCTTCCTCACAGTTCGCACAAAGTTTGTTGCGATGGCGACAAGAATCCAGGAGCAGTTCGCCGCAAAAGAAAGTCCGTTTTTGAGGTCGCTGAAAGAAGAAGACAAGGGGAAAAGCAGCGAAGCCAAACTAAGGTGATTCTTGAAGATTCATTCCAGCGATGGCGCGACTGAAGCAGACGAAGGGTCTAAAAGACTGAAGCACTGGTCCACAAAATTACTCCTGGACAGGAAACTTCTGCTTATTATGAAAACGTACTTTATTTCCAAGAGCGAGACAAACGTTTTTCAGGACACGAAAGCGATATCCTATGTCTGAAAACGTAATTTTCAAGGCAAAGAAAGAGTCCGCTTGCTGCTGCGTGTTGTAGCTAGTTCATTTGCACTGAATCTCCGCGCACTCTTCTCTGCACCCCTTTCCTGCTCCTGTCCCCGCTGCCCGATCCGCTCTTCCCCTGCTTCCTCACTTCTCCGGGCACGGAATCTCCGCACACCGCTCTCCTCTCCCCTCTCCTCTCTCCTCTCTCCCTGCTCCTCACTTCTCGTCCGTGAACGAAATGTCCACGCACCCGCTCCCCCCGCTCCTCACTTCTCCGTCTTGTCTAACCAACACTGTAGTTAGTTGTTTACAAGTCATGTGCAGCACCGGCTGTAAACAAACCTGTTTCTGGCGTAAAGGAGGAGGAGGAGGAGGTGTTTCTACGTAGGAGCTGTAGGGGAGGGGAGGTGGTTTCACGCATGCGCAACATTTGAAAAAGGACAAACTGTCGCTGGATTTCTCGTTCCTTGGAAAATCCTCTATACAACCTTTAAGGAAAGTGAAACATATCACACCTTTTGCCAAAGTGAAGTAGAAACCATCCTCCATCTCTTTTATTATAGTAAATACTCAAAGGAAATCTGCTCAAATCTAGAAACACTTATTCTACAAAAAAAAAAAAAAAAAAACATCCGTCAGATTCATTTGGACCACTCAAACACAATAACCCACTTCCATCATAAACTCTATAAAACTGAATATTTACTAAACTTGTGCATTCTGCTGGGAAAATTTCACATTCATAAATCCAGATTCTTCGATTCCATACGCCGATTTAAAATCAATATCTTAGAAAAGAATTATATTCAAACACTAAACAGTATAATAAATCTATCACATTACTCAGTATTACAGATTATTTTTAACCACTTCCTCAGTTTCGTGTATTTATTTCTTCATATGTATAACAGGGGCGGCGTTTGCAATTTGGGGGCCCAAGGCGAACGTGAGTTTGGGGCCCTCACTTTTTTTATATTTATTGTCTGTTTTTCCCCATTGTTCTTGAGACTCGCACATCTTTATTTATTTGAATTATGGAGGATTGGAAACTTGTCTTATCAGTTTGGTCGCCAACTAGAAAACCAGAACTGAAAGTAGTTTTATTTTTTGCTTGTACAATTAGGGGTGTCAAATTGCGATTAATTAATTACAGTCATATTTAGCGCATTATGTTTTTTAATCGCGTTAATCTTATTTTAAATCTCTAACTTTACTGTTTCTGTATTCGAGTTGCCTTATTATAAAATCTGCTTTTATGTGTTGTTAGGACACAGTGTTCGTCCTGCTCCGCTCGCTCCTGCAAACAACTGTAGCCTAGTTTTTATTCCTGTTCCCGCTGCATCTGCGATAAACCTGCACATGACTGATTTCTGAAAACATCACGACACAAACACAGAACAGACTCACCTTCAGCAGAACATCCCTCTGTCACAGAAAGAACACTCATATTCCACTGAGTCATGTCCTTTAGTAGAAGATGAACCACATCAGCGACACAAGAGCTTTTTTTTTATTTTTTATTTTTTTATTTCTCCGCTTAGTTTATGCAAATGAGTCATGGGGTTTTTAGTTTTGTTTCTGTGAGACTTGTGCAAATCTGCATTAAACACATTCTAAAGTCAAACAGCTGATGTGGCTCTAGAGTGTTGATGTTTATATGTTGTAAAGTTGAGTTTATTTATGCAGATTAGTAACAGTAATAATAATGATGATACTTCTATAAAAACATTAATGATAGTATGAAAATAATGTTATAATCAATTCAAATGAAAATACCTCGAGTTGAAGCTTTTCTCTGCAATTTTTAGGTGAGATTAAAAAAGAGATTAATTAGATTAATTAATTACAGATCATAATTAATTAATCTCTCAATTTTTTTAATCGCTTGACAGCACTAAGTACAATTACATTTTTGTTTACATCCATTACATATGATTATGATTATGATTGTCCTATGATTCTGTTCAAATCAGGGTCACGGTGACTCGTTTATTCTAATGTGAAAGGGGCAAATACTTTGACAGTTAAAATAGTTTTGACAATCAGACTCTATTTTTATAGTGTTTTTTCTTTTTTGTTTAAAAGTAAACTACTTTCATTTAACGTCATATTGAGAGAAAATCAAATTGTTGAGGCCTCAGCCATTAGTGGCACTGAAGGCAATTGGTTGGGGGCCCCTCCATGTTTGGGGGCCCTCAGCAGCCGCCTAATGTTGTCTAATGGTAACGCCGCCTCTGATGTATAAGAACTCTGGAACGATCTGCCGCTTCACGTTGGAGAAGCTCCACAGTGGAGAGTTTTAAATCTCGTCTGAAGACCCACTTTTATTCTCTGGCTTTTAACACCACGTGAGTCGTGTGCTCCTCTGTGTCTTTTATTTATTTTTATGTGTTTTTATTGGTTTTACTGATTTAATTTATTTATTGGTTTATTTATTTCTATTCTATGATATAGTTTTATTTTTATTTTACTGGTTTTATATTATTTTACTAGTTTTATTACATTAAGACTAGTATTATTTTAGTAATTTACTTTATCATCTTATTGTTGTTATTTTTTATGTATTTGTGCAGCACTTTGGAAACAGTTTGTTTGTGAAATGTGCGACAGAAATAAAGTGGATTGGATTGGATAAGAATCTGCCTCAGTTTAAGTTTACATGTATGTCAGTTTTGTTATTGTCTTTGGTTTGGTTCTTCTTCTGTCTTCATTTTAAGTTTAAAAAAAAAATAAAAATAAAAAAAATAAACATGTAAAAAGTATTTAGGAAGTAACGCAGAAATAAAAATATTTTGGCAATGAGCACAGGCCCCTGAAAACAATACAGCCCCATCGTGAGTAATCCTCCAGATTTGATCACAGTTCCATGTGTCGCGTCTGTGTGTGTGTGTTGTGTGATGTGGGTTACGTGTGCGTTGTGTTTGTGTGTGATGTGGGTTACGTGTGCGTTGTGTTTGTGTGTGATGTGGGTTACGTGTGCGTTGTGTGCGTTGTGTTTGTGTGTGATGTGGGTGTGTGGTTGTGTTTGTGGTGATGTGGGTTACGTGTGCGTGTGTGTTGTGTTGTGTGGGTTACGTGTGTTGTGTTTGTGTGTGATGTGGGTTTTGTGTGATGTGTTTGTGTGTGATGTGGGTCACATGTGTGTGTGGGTTACGTGTGCGTTGTTTTGTGTGTGATGTGGGTGTGTGTGATGTGTTTGTGTTGTGATGTGGGTTACTGTGTGTTGTGGTTATGTGTGCGTGTTTGTGTGTGATGTGGGTTACGTGTGCGTTGTGTTTGTGTGTGATGTGGGTTACGTGTGTGATGTGTTTGTGTGTGATGTGGGTGCGTTGTGTGGATGTGGGTTACGTGTGCGTTGTGTTTGTGTGTGATGTGGGTTTTGTGTGTGATGTGTTTGTGTGTGATGTGGGTTACGTGTGCGTTGTGTTTGTGTGTGATGTGGGTTACGTGTGCGTTGTGTTTGTGTGTGATGTGGGTTACGTGTGCGTTGTGTTGTGTGTGATGTGGGTTACGTGTGTGGTTATGTGGGTTACGTGTGTGTTTGTGTGTGATGTGGGTTACGTGTGCGTTGTGTTTGTGTGTGATGTGGGTTACGTGTGCGTTGTGTTTGTGTGTGATGTGGGTTACGTGTGCGTTGTGTTTGTGTGTGATGTGGGTTACGTGTGTGTTGTGTGATGTGGGTTACGTGTGCGTTGTGTTTGTGTGTGATGTGGGTTACGTGTGCGTTGTGTTTGTGTGTGATGTGGGTTACGTGTGCATTGTGTTTGTGTTGATGTGTGGTTTTTGTGTGTGTGTTTTGTGTGTGATGTGGGTCACATGTGTGATGTGGGTTACGTGTGCGTTGTGTTTGTGTGTGATGTGGTTTTGTGTTGTGATGTGTTTTGTGTGTGATGTGGGTCACATGTGT